TATTATTATTATTATTATTACTATTACTATTATTATTATTATTATTACTATTACTGTTATTATTATTTTATTATTATTATTATTATTTAATTATTATTATTATTATTTATTATTATTATTATTATTATTATTATTTCTGAAATATGAATTTATATTCCTCTTATAAGGTGGTAAAGAAATATGTGAATGATAGGAAAATATTATTACTTATGGATGTAAAATATAAATTAATTTTGTTTTAATTTTTTTTAAGTATAAAAACGTTAAATTAATCAACTTTTTATCATGTTAACAGCTTAAAGGGTATTTCAGACATTTTGATAAAAAAAAGTGTTTACCAGCATTTATTGGCCAAACACATCAACAACTTTTTTTTCAACTACAGCACTTTTATCCAAACACATAACTACTTATTTTAAAAATAAGTTTCAGCACTTTAAAAAGTTACTTTTTTTAAGTCAATCCAAACGAGCTCTAAGTCATGCCACTGAAATTAACACTTCATTGATAACACAAAATGATCAAAGCTTAACAAAGAACGCTCAGATCAATGCCCCTAATAATTGTGCATATCCACTTTCTTAAAAGAGAGAGAAAAAAGACATAAAAAAGAACCTTCAATTTGGAACTAAAAAAACGTCATCACAATCCATAAGGAAAAGACAAATTTAAAACAAAAACTTTAGAAAATGCATTTGTCACACAAAAAACGCATGACGACCAAGACTAGACATCGAGGTGCACAGAAGATGATCTGACCGATCAGTTGATGGATGGCTTGGTGGTGGTGGTGGTGGAATCGGCGGAATTAAAGCTAGTGCTGCTAGTGGATGATTTGTACTCTTGTTCAACCTCAACATTGTGTGTGTTTTCACCATCAGTAGGTGTCAAATGAGGCATTGAACTTGAGCTGCTACTACCCCATTTATACAAAGTAGTTGCCATGGTCAAACGTCTCCTCTTGTTCAAAGGGCTTTCTTCTTTTTCAACATCTTCTATACTTTTCACATCACCCAAATTCATGAATGTCTTTGATTTTCCTTCATAAAATCCTGATAATCCCCGTCTATTAAAAAAAAATCACAACACCAAAAAGTTATATGACAAAAATTAGACGAAATCTTAGCTTATAAGTTAAAAATAATAATTATTGTATACAAAAATTATTAAATTCATTGAAATGACTGGAAAGACGTGTAATCTATCTTTTACAAGTATTTACTATGAATCATTTTAGATAAAATTTGACTGAAGACTAAAGATTTGACAAAAAGGACACATGAAAAATGAGGTTAAAGTTTTGCTATAAATTCCTTCATAAAATTCTTGTCTCCGTCATGAAATGTCTAAATCAGATAAAAAAAAAATTATATGACAAAAATTAGACGAAATCTTAGCTTATAAGTAAAAAGAATTCTTTTTATTATATGTAAAAATTATTAAATCTATTGAAATGACTGAAGACGTGTAATCTATCTTTTACAAGCATTTACTAGAGATGAATTAGTACAGTCAATCCGTTTAGATAAAATTTGACTAAAAACTAAAGATTTGACAAAAAGTAAAGTTTTGCTATAAATCCCTTGATAAAATTCTTGTCTCCATCATGAAATGTCTAAATCAGATAAAAAAAAAATTATATGACAAAAATTAGACGAAATCTTAGCTTATAAGTAAAAGGAATTCTTTTTATTATATGCAAAAATTATTAAATCTATTAAAATGACTGGAGACGTGTAATCTATCTTTTACAAGCATTTACTAGTGATGAATTAGTACAGTCAATCCATCTAGACAAAATTTGACTAAAAACTAAAGATTTAACAAAAAGTAAAATTTTGCTATAAATTCCTTGATAAAATTCTTGTCTCCGTCATGAAATGTCTAAATCAGATCCAAAAAAAATAAATAACACATGACATTCTTTCAAATCAATAAAGAAAGAAAAAAAGATTTTAGGAGAATTTTTTAAAGAAAAATTAATTAAACGGACTAAAAACGAAAGAAGAAAAAACTAACTTAAAAGGAAGAGCAGCTTCCAATGTAGCCAAAGAACTGAGGGATCCTTCCTCAACAACAGCCTTGCTTTGTGCTTCTTCGCCATCTTCATCATCACCACCATCTCCATGACTCAACACACCAATCGAAGACGATTTGGAATTAGTTTCATCATCATTTTTAACTGAACTTGTTAGGTCATCATCAACCACTTCATTTTGATCAACTTGAACAGGAAGAGAAGACATGATTGATCAAAAGAGTTTACGTTTCTTATTTTTGTGTATATATATGTGTAATGAAAGTAGAGATTTTATATTGAAATGAAGCGGTGTGTGGGGGGTTTGGATTACATAGATATAGCGGTGATTAAACTTAGTAAGTGTTGAGAAGAAGATGAATTTAAAGTCATTTTATTCTTGACCTGAAATATTTGGAACTTATAACATAAGGTCATAAAAATATCGTCTTCTTCTATAGAAGACCTTTGCCACATTGCATAAGAGAGGCCATTTCACACTCAACCTAATTACTTACACTCCAAAATTAAATAGACTAAACAAAAATGAAAAACTCAATAAATTTTATTTACTATATTAATATTACTGGAAAATTTGAGTAATTTTATCCAATATTAATTGATCTAATTTTTTCTAAAGAGTAAAGCATCATATGAAACATATATAATGCCTGGAAAACTCGAGCTAAAAACAAATTTGTTCGCTCAGGGCAAAACGAGTATTAAAATGCAGAGGCGTTCCACTTCCAATGGAGACGACAGTACAAGATGACGAAATAGTTATACGAAACGATATATATCAAAATTTCCTCCAAGGGAAATCCAGGAATTAAAAAAAAAAAAAAACATTCTTGAATATAAAGGCGTTAATCAAAATTGGCACGAGCTTAATTAATGTCCTCAACAAAACTATCTAGCAAATTGTGTTCAAGAAGCTGGCTAACTAATTTGTAAGTGCGTCCAGAAAGGGGGGGTTGGTGTGATCGATGAGCTGCTCATACACATTAGGCTGATTTGGTTCAGCAGCACCAGAGTAGTTTCCACATTGAAACTGAAATTATTGGCATATTGATACAATGCCTCTATCTGGTCTGGAGCAACTGAAGATTGTACTGTTTGTCAGCTCTCAACTCAAGTGGGGCACAGCACTGGAATTCTGCAAAAAAGTGATCAATGGGACGGGGCTAGCTGCAGCTTCCTCAACCATGTTAGTGTCATTAATTAAGCAGCTCAATCTTCGCCTTGAGTATATTCATCTGGGTATAGTCCCTACTCTTGCAAAAACTCCAGTAACGGGAAAATCAATCAAGTGAATGTCCAATTACTAGATGGTTGGAGAAACACCTATACATGTATGTACCATTTTGATTACATAGACATAATTTTTTCTATACGCTCCCTTCTTATCCTTTATTTTAAGCAAACCTCGATTTTCTTTCTACTTAAGAATTTGATGAATCTCAGGGATACGTTCAATAATTACGAATATTCTTAAGGATAGTGTTGACACGCAAATAAAAATATTTAGAGAAATAATACCATTATGAAAAGATTTAATTATTCTATTTTACTTCCTTAAACTTTTGAAAGAAATAAATTTGACTCTTGTATTTTATATATATTACATGAGTTTTGACGTTCATGTATGATCGGACATGCTTATTGTCCTAAGAAAAATTAATACCAAAAAGGGGAAATAAATCAAACCAACTTTAATAGTGTAATCATTGTCTTTTTACGAAGTCAATGAAATTAGAACTTTCAACAATTAATTAAAATTTCACATTTTGGAGAAAATATGACTATAGCTTTAGGGGTGCTGAAATCACAGACGATTACTCTCAAATAATTTCTATCAATATTAATTATTCCAACACTCAATTGATTAAGGTTGACCACTAGAGATAGCACAACCTTCATAGGAACAGAAATTAATAACATAAGCAGAAATTTATGACTGAAAAAAATATATCAGAATCTGTAATTATAGCATGTAACAGAAAAAAATATAAAAAAATTGAGCCTACTGAATGCACATTGTCTCCTTAAGGAAATTATTCTCCTCTAGTACCCGAGGTTTAAAGGAATAGATACTTTCGGAATAGAACGATTTTATTCACTAGTGAGATCGCAATGTTCCTAATAAATTACTTATTATGACACTGAACATTCCACTTTTTTTTTATTTAAAAAAATCACTTGGAATATACTGATAAGTAAATTATTAATCCAACAAGTATTTATTAATCATTTTAGAAATGAGAGATTATCTGATATAATAATTTAAATTACATCAGTAATATATATGTGTTGCTTCTCCATATTGAGAATGGTATACTCACATATTGAAGAATATGTATCTACCACACCAACGTATATCACGTTTGAATTTTGAGAAATTAAACAAAATAATTAGTAAAAAATATTTTCCTCTTAAATATGTCATACACACGATATATAAATTAGAATGAATTTAAGTTTTACATACCGTCTGTATAAATAATTTTTATAAAAAAAAAAAAATGAATTTTAGCAGCATTCATCATATTTGTCTCATCCTATTAAAAGGTGGGAAAATTATTTGTCCTAAGTTCACCTACGTGTTGTCCCTATTGATTGACACGTACGATTTAATAAACAACAAGAAATTAGTTGTGCTATTATGAAAGTCAAAAAACTCAATTACAACTCTAGGAAAACCAATGAAAATTATTGTATTATTATATAATATATATATTATGGGTTCGGTTATTTGTCTAGAAAAAACATCGAGAATTGTACGTTCAACTTTCGTGAGAGTGATTACTAGCCTCGGAACAAATTTATGATTGCATGGTTGACGCCAGACGGGTGATTACTAGTAATTTTGGCCTCACACTGAATTGTAGAATATTTAGATGTTTATAGATTGAAATGTCACATATATATATTGATTAAAATTGTTTGTTTTTCTCAATTTCTAAAAATATAAAATAAAATCTATATTTAAAAAAATAATTTGAATGAATTGTTAAATTAATCTAGTACTAAATTAATTAACTACTTTTAAATATTATATTGTTATGTATCGTGGCATGTGGGCAGTAGTTAGTAATATAGTGACTGACAATAATAATTAATAGTGATAATTGATAAGTGATGAATAATTACATGGGAGATCAATAATAGCTATGATGATGGTTAATAATATATAATATGGCTAACTAACAAGTTCAAAAATTTTGGTTGAAAATGTGATGAATTCAACTAACAAGTTCCCAATTAGAAGGCATATAAAATCATAATCTTGAAAATTGGTGTTAAAACTTGTAATTATCTCCAATAATTTCAAAAGAAGATTTTGTAATAATAACAACTTTATATATCCTCCATATCTTTACCAAAGAAAGTGCTATAAAACCATTCCATGTGTTGATAAAAGACGAAGCTGACCATATGCACAAGTTAACATTAGTAAATTAAACTTGTATATACTTATAAAAATGTACACTAAGTTTATCGTATCATTCAAAATGTTTTTAGCCAAAAAATCATCATATGACACAAATTTTCATGTCATAAAGTAAATTAACTAACAGTAATAATATCCTGATTATACGTTCCTAAATTACTCATGAATCACGATTAATTAATATACTTCTCTTTTTATAGTCTGGTACTTGGATTTCATAGACTTTCATCAATGCCTCAAATTTTTTGAAATTCGATGTGGTTGAAGTACAAATTTATTTTTACGTATTGTTGCTATCATAAATAGGAGCATTTTATGTTTTCGCTTAATAAATAAAGGAAAATTCTTTTTGGCCAGAAAATTTGACCAGAATTTGGCTAGAATGATATTTTTTCTAAGTTATTTTACCTTTTTAAACATTTTTATCATTTTAACTTTAATACCTTTTAACTAAAAAATAGGAAAAAAATCATTTTATTTTAAAATTTAAAAAAAATTATAGTTTTTTTAATTTTCTGGCCATTTAGTACTTCCCATAAATAAAAGTCCAGCAGCTAAGAGGCCAAAAGTTAAATAGAAATTTTACGAGTTCTAATGAAATGGTTAGGAGATTATTACACTACATTTAACGGTGTCAATATGCTTTAATAAATACTATTTAATCAATTGAATCGAATCGTATTAAACAAATTATCAACCCAAATGCTTGAGATATATTAGACACAAAGAGAGCTGAAAATAAATCCCTTGGGTCTGACAAAAATGATGTCCTTGATCACATGCGTGAAACTGAAGAAAATTTTATATTTATAATTGTAAACCTAATTTTTATTACATATTAATTTAAAATTGCTTTAGCAACGCAAAAAAATCATGTCTTAAAACCTATCAGAAGCAGTAGTATCACACTTGAAAAAGGCATTATCGGAATAAATAATTAAGTAAAACACATTTCATGGAAAAGAGTAAAGCTATTTATAAAATCGACAACTGTACATAAATAAATAAAAATATAAGTTTAGACCAAAGAAAATTTCCAAATTTTTGAAACTTTTAACTTATATAAGATTGTCGTTTGTAGCTTCGATTTCTAGCAAAAATAATAAAGCAACTTTCACATATAGCAAATATAAAAATCATGTTTGTATGTTATAGTTATAATTTGTATAATTGCGCTCCATAGCAAATTTTATGTTTGCTATGGAGCTTTTAATTTGTATAATTCGCTAGATACATCCAATTTTATACAAATTGTTCAGTTTTGTATAAATTTATTTATACATTGTAATTTGTATAATAAGATCTGTATTTGTATAATTATAAGTGTATAGGACGAAAATATATGTATTTGTATTTACACTTTTCTCTCACTTTATACAAACACAAACGCATTTTATACATTTGTATACCGAATGGGTAATTCTATACCGAAAATGGCTAATTGTATATCGAACCAGATGACAAAAAAATGGGATGTTTGTTGCGAATTACAAATAAAATAAATTATGACTATAATATTTAATTTGAATTAATAGTTTGTTCTTTCATACAATTTTCCCAAAAAAAAAAGATTGTTTTACATGTGGGCCTCTTAGGCTTGGCCCATTTTTGGTGGTCCGGCCTATCAAGTGGAGGTGAAGCCCAAAGTTACTCCTAATATTAATGTAGTACATTATGGGTCATTTTTAAATGTATTTTAAATGGAAAAAACTACTTAATTACATAAATATTTCTATTATATTTACTAATTTTTTTGTTATAGTTTGAAATAATTACACACATTGATACATGTATTTTGCTACCAATACATTCTCAAATACAGATACATAATGGATGGTATAAATGAGTTTTTTCTGAAAGTTCGATGTCATATTTGAGTCTTTTCCCTTGTACATATAAAAGGCACATACAAAAATTAGCTTAAAAACTCTGATTTTGTGACTGTTTATTCCCCGAAAACCTTACTATAATCAATTAACACTCTAAAGTATATGCATCGAACTGAAATTGAAAGCATTAACTTCGAGAAAATAGCCAAATGCCCTCTCAAGCATTTAATTTCGGATTGAAAGCATTAAAAGTAGTTACAGAACCTAGAAAACATTTTTTAACCTAAGCAAAGTCGAAGCTAAGCAGCTAAACAAGGGATGGCGGGCAATTAGAGATGAGAGAGGTCATCTCGGAAACACCTCCACAGACACTTCCTGTGGGGAGACAACAAGATAGACCTTCACACCCACAGAGTCTTCCTATGGAGAGAAATATTCTGAGGTCTCTATCCTAGTTAACACATTTCCTGCCTGTCGAATTTCTAGGGAGGAATGTACTAACATGTGTGAGAAATGCCAGCTTGACTATGAAGAGGGACAACTCGTGCGAGTTCTTCCTTCTTGTAGTCATTGCTATCACCGCATTTGCATAATGATCAGTGGATGACGTTTGTGGCTCTCAACTGTCCTCATTGTGGTGCAGTAATATAGGATTTGTATTGTTTAGGTCATGTAGGATTTGATCTGCATTGGTTTCTCCAAAAGCATCCAAACAAACAAAAAAAGAACCTGCTACACATTCAAGCCAGATCCGACAGGTAAAGTCATAGCTTCAAAATCAGCATTGTTTTTTTATCTTTTTAAGGCGGAATGGTCTGATGAACCCTTTATTTGACAGCTTCAAAAACAGGAATGTTGACTTAGCTTGTAAAAACACAGAGACAATTATATTAAGCTTTCAAGTGCATAATCTCCTAAGGTAATACATAAGCGGGTTACATTTCTTCCACTAGCTATACATAAAAATATGTTCCCTAAATTATGTAACTCTGTCGTACCAACAATATGGGCATTGAATAGCATTTGTCAACACTTATTCAAGGATGCAGTCATGGTCATATACGTGGCCGTAAGGAAGAACTCGTAAGAGCCTTACCTCATCAAACTCAGTCGCACATATAGCACATGTGTCAAAGTCTTCCATGGGATCAATAGAAATGTGTCGACAATGCCACTCGGCTCATGAAGTGGCTCCACTGGAAGTGTCCTGTCTTTTTAATCCTTTAAGAGCTAAAAGAAGTGTTTCTTAATATAAAGACATAACTTTTCCTCGATTCTACCAATGAGGGGGAAACGAATTTTCGTTTTCCTTTCACTTAGTTCCCCACATTTCCCAATTCACAGTATATGTACATTTCTCAAATCTCAATTCACACCTTATCTTTAAAGAACACAAACCCAACAATCATTGAATGAGATTCTAAATGTTGTGTTAAAAGGGCTTTTCTCCTTCTACATTACCATGAGGATCATAGTTGCAACTAATCAAAGTATCCCCTGTTTTGCATAAAACTTTTGCACAGCCAACTCTTGTGCTCTGTTTCCAAATAATCTGTGTATAATGCAAGCATTGCTCATTTTTCTTGCAAGAATTGCTCTTATAATCATAATATGGTCTTTCTTTCGTCCACATCGTGACAGCATCGCTTGGCTTCCAATCCTTTCCGCTCCCCCAAAAGAGGTTCTCCCCGTAGTCGCCACGGGAATGAACCAACTCACAACTCACCTGCAAAGCGATGAGTTCAACTGAATTCAATATTTTCACACAAAAAACAAATCATATGTATATACAAGAAATTTATTAAAGTTTTAAAAAATATTAAGTTAGTCGATAACTTTAAGGTAATAGGAGAGAAGGTAATCAACATATAACTAGTAAGTAACGCTATGGACTAGTTTTTTCCTTTGTGATAGGTAACTCGACTTTTTTTATTTACATTATAGCAAAGGAGATGATATTTGCCTACATTTATTCATGATTGAGTATTCTATTTTAATTTTATATTTACTGAAAAAAATTAGAAATATAGTTACTAATGTTACTATATTAGAGTTTGAACTTATTGAATTTAAATTCTGAATCCAAATTCTTTACTCACCTGTCGTTGGTGTCCCCACCAGCTTGCGTAATTTGCTAGTTTATTGCTCCATTTGAGCGGTGGAAGTCCAAGTTTTGCTCTAGCTTTGTTGTGGGGAGTAAGGTATTGTTTGACTATGTTGCTTGGGGTAGTTGTCAAAAGGTGTCTAGAGGACAAATGTTGATGGGAAGAAAAAGAAAATGAAGTTTGAACTATGCAAAGGAGAAAGAAAATACTAAATTTTCCCAAGAGTCTTGGTTGCAAATATGCCATTTTGGGGAGTTTTGTGGTAAGTGAGAGGAGGAGGAGGATTTGTATGGATGGATGAGTGAATCTAATGGTTTATATAGGTGACTAGTTGCAACTTTTTTAGTTGTTGCAAATTTGTGTTATAGACTATATGTTATAATAATAATATTGTTTGATCTTTCGATTGGAAAAAGACATACTACATAAATCGATATTTAAATTTGATCTCAGCTGGCAAGTAAGCACTTTAACCTGGAGAGTGCATTAGATACCTTAATTAATCTCAATTGGCAACTAAATATTCCAACTTGTTCCTATTGTGTCTCGTAGACACCTGATGCTGACGTGACACATAAATTTTAGAAGTGCTTATATGATCATTTTGTAAATTAAAATGTCCAATTCACACCGTATAGATGAAATGAGGTATATAAACATGTATACTCAAATTTGAATATCTATCTGTTAATTATACCTTGAAAACTTAAAGAATCTATTTATTAAAATTTATACATCACATCTAAACTAATCGAATCAGTAAATCATGAACATTGAATACATGAAAAAGAGAAAGTCATCAATAATGTTAAAGCACTTGACTCATTTATCATGTTAGAATATTGATGTACGAATAAAATGCACATGGTATAACATAGATTATGCACATCTTACTTTAATAATAAATAGAGTTCAGAATTCTGACAATATTTTTATTATTAATATCATTTGAGAGTGCATATTACTTCCTATAAGAGAAAAAGCAATACAGGTGGTGAAGGAATCATATCACATGTGACACTTGAGGGTGAGGTGGAAAATCACGTTAATGAATGTGAAAAAATGCATAACTTCAGAAATTGTTCCAATCATTGGCATGTGACCAACAAACTTTGCTAGCCACTTTAACTAAGAAAAAGATTTAACTTTGAAAAATTCCACTTCTAATTTACATATAAAATCATTGTGTGCCATAATTTATCTAATTATTGTTGTAGGAGGATATCTAAAGAATATCTAAGTAAAGTACTTATAATATAGTTGGTTTGATAACCACATTATAAAACTTTTAAGTCTTGATAACACATTTTTCTAATACAAAACATTGGATGCAAGTTTCAATTTCATGAACCCATTTCAATACGATGTGTAATATTATCGTTAATTTTCCTATTTTCTTAAATTATTGATCCAAGATACTTGAAACTTCCTCTTTTGAAGATGACTTGTGTATCAATCCTCACTTCCACATTTGCCTTGTAAGTTACATCATTGAACGTGCACCTCTGAGCACTCTATTTTAATCCTGCTCAATCTAAACCCTTTAGACTCTCTAAGGTATGTCTCCAAACCTCTACCATGTTGTTAGTTTCGTTGCATGTCTCATCAATCAATACCGTATAATCTGCAAATAACATATATCATGGAACCTTCCCTTGAATATGCCATGTCAGTTCTTTTTTTAAAAAAATGAAAGTTGCCCGAACTGGACCTTTTATTAACAAAAAAACAGATAGCAAATTACAAAGTTTCAGACCCAAAAGTGGCCTAGATCAGAAAAAGCCAAAATGACACTGTCCTAAATCAGAAAAGGAAGGAAATCTAGAAACATCTTCTTCAAATATGCCATGTCAGTTCATCCAATAAAAACGGAGCAAGGGTTGATCTTGATCCCTGATATAATCCTATTGCAAAATCAAATCCAACCTGCCTAATCTGCCCAACCTGTTTAAGTTTGGGTGGGTTGTTGACCTGCTCATTCAGTACCTCAACTCATTTTAACCCTTTAAAAAATGGGTTGATATGTAACCTGAATTAGCTCATGAGAAATCTTATCAAAATATTTTTAAAGAAATTTTTAAAAATTTGATATGTCATATGTAGTCATAATAAAGAAAAAAAATCTTATTAGGTACTAAAATAGTGTAAAAGAACAAATAAAACAATTAAGCTTAGTAAAAATTGAGTTGGATTGAGTCTTGACCCGTTATATAACCTATTATCTAACCCATTTTGACCCAAGCGAATTTGTGTTGGGTTGGGTTCTTGACCTGATTTGCTGTCTTAATGCATTATCACCTGCCCAATTGTCACCCCTATTCCTAGTTTATGACTTGAGAAATGCTCCGAGTCTCCTCCTATTGTCTTCAACCGGATCTTTGACTCCATTGTACATGAATCATCCTAATATAATACAGGCACAAATTTGTGTGTGTTGCCACTGGATCAATCAGCTGAAATGGTAATTGTTCTAACGTTGCAAATGGATAAACTTAATACATTTATGGATGAGTTAGAACAAAAAAGGTTATGAGAAAAAGATCAAAAAGAAAGAACTGTCACATTGTAATAAATAACAAAAGAATTCTCTATACAAGCACAAGAGTTGGTAAAACAAAGGAAGTGGCAAAACATTGGTATTTCCTTCAACTTGCTATTACATCCATCGCATTTCAAAGTAACATTATAATCGTGCGGGAATTTGTGTTTTCAAGGAACAATAAGGACTAGCTTGAAGAGTGCATGCATCTCGCGAAAGGAGAAATCTTACCAAGCCAGAATTATAGCCAAGATAGAGATGAAGGACGAAGCAGAAAACAACTGCAGTTTCGATTTGTCTACCACTTTCATCTCAGTATAGTCTCAAGTAACCTCCCCTTTCATTTCTTTCCCTAACGCCTGTACTTCTTCTAAGGAAGGATCTCCGGTTGAGAGACCAATTTCTTTTCATGTCTCGCCTTCTCTTCCAAGCCATTATATGACTATAAAGTGCTGGAAAAAGGAAGCAGAGGAGAACCAACAGCAGCAGAACCACACACAACATCATAACATTGCGGAACCCTTCCTTCAACTCAGGTTCTCTTTGGTTGGTCCAAGGAACGCCTCCAACATTCATCCCGAACACTACAACATAGCAGACAATGTAGAGATAGATGTCAGATGCTTTTCAACTATGAAATGGCCAGAAAAAATAACTTGGACTTTATGAAACAAGTTCCTTACCTCCAGTTACTACCGACAAGGGAAGAAAGACGATGGAGAGGAAGGAAAGATAGTAAAGTTTTTTATTTATCTGCTCAGACTGCCAACTGTCAAGACCTGCCTGAATTGCTGTGACACGATTGGCAATAAATCCAACATTCTCCTTCAGTCTTCTCAGCCGACCAATTAACTCTTCAAGTGAGTTGATGTCATCGCTGGCAAACCAACCTTTTGAAGAACATTTCTCCTTGACTCGTGGAAATACTTGCTCCCCATGTGCAATCACCTGAAACAAGAGTGATTAAGATTAAATATGTCTTTAGAATCTAAGACTATACATCTGAAATCTCATGAATAGGAGAAATTAATAGATATAGTATAAGGAATTTTACTGCCAATTGCATGACCAAAATGAGCAAGCAAGGTACTTTTTTTTTGAGATGGATGAACAAAGTACTCTTTGATTAAACTATTGCCTTCCTTAATGGAACTAAATCAAGAAAACGACAAGAAATACAGGAAATGTGAGAAGATAATAGTTCATGCTCGGAAACCTACAGAAGTCTTTGGCTCATAGCAAGATGCTAGTGACTGGGGTTAAAGTCTCTGTTCCCTCTAGCAAGGGCTGGCTTTATCAAATTCTTAACCTCTTTTGTATTCCAGTCTCACGGTTCATTACTCCCACCTAATCAGGTGTCATATATATATATCTTGATGATGGCAATAGTGTACTTTCAGTTGGTTGTGCAGCTTGGTGGGGGTGACCAGCTTATCCTGTTGTGCCTGTAAATCCTTATCTAGCCTAACGTTTCCCTAAATCCTTTTACTTGGCAGTGTCGGCCTTAAACTAACTAATTTTTTCCTTCAGCTAATAGCCATAAAAGTTCCTTCTAGCACTACTGTATTACTCTTTCTGCAACTCTTCTATCTTGCTTTGATTCATTCTATTTGCTTCGGCGTTACTTGTTCTTTCAGAATAGTTGTTTTAGTGCATGTGTTTGTGATGCAGGGAGTCAATGATCAGAAAGCAGAGCACTCACTGATATGGGTTAAAGAAGAATATATGAAACTGGATCTCAAATGCCTATATACGTGATAGGCACAATGCTTTACTTTTTTCTTTGACCCCATCATCATTTGCTATCCCAGTCGGTAAAGTTGTTTAAAAATCAACACCTACAAACTTCACAAAAAAGGTTCACCAATAATTGAAGTGTAAAATTTTTTTCTTCTTAAAAGAAGTGTAAGACATCCTTAGTCTTTCCGTCCTCTTACATAAGTTCAAAAGAACTGATTTTTTTCGTCATGGCAAACAGCAGTCAAGAATGTCATTCTTCTGTTGCCCTACAAGATATGGCATTTGGGCCTAACTAAACTCCAAAAACCAGCTCTTACGGATAGGATTGTCCAAGTCCAGATAAGAAGACCATCAGCCCGTTCCCCAACCAATGTGAGCCTCTAACTCACTCTAACACCCTCTGCATGCCCAGACCACCAAAGGGAGCGTGGACGACATAACATGGAGTCCCAAACAGGAATGGACCTGGCTTTGACACCATGTAAGATATGGTACTTGAGCCTAACTCAAAACCAAAAGTTATCTCTTGAAGGGAGGATTGCCCAAGTCCATATAAGGAGACCACCGTGTTCCTAACCATGTTGAACTCTAACCCACTCTTACAGGAACAAATCGCTGGTATGCTGCTCAACAAGCAAGGAGTGGCATGCACATAGCAAAAGAAATAAAACCTAATATCATGAATATACTTTGCTTCTTATCTCCTCATCTTCAGAATGCATTTGTGCCACTTATTCTTTTTGTGATTCTTCTTGCAACACTTATGTTCTGTACTTGGATTTTCTTTCATTTGATTGCGCTTGATCAATATGTAAGGAAATGATGAAGAAGGAAACTAAAGAAAAAGGAAATGGAGCATCAAGAAAACAATGTACAACAAAACCTATATTTGAATAGAATCTGCAACAAAGGCTTCGAGTTATAAAGAAGCGATCACATATGGGAGAAGAAACTGGAAACAATCAAACCTACCTCTTTTACTTCTACTCGTCTATTTCTCACCCTTGACTTTATTAAGTACTAGCTTTGGATGGTGTGTAATGTCTTTCTTCTGTCTCCTTAAACATTAATCCACTTTTCCATCCCAAGTCAAGGAACCTGACAACGTTCCTCATCCCCTTCACCCACCCACCACACTTGGAAGTATCGACATGAAATTAGTTGTTTACTATGAGTAACAATTTCTTAAACAAAGGAAAATGCAGTAAATAAAGAAAAAGAACAAAATGCATGAAGGAATGCAAGAATCTAGAGTACTAGGCAAAAAGCAATAGGAAAACAGAGAGGATCATATTAAACCAATCCAAACTTAAATCTTCCTCAATAATTGTTAACAGCTAACAAAACGGAGAACATTTTGTGCCAGTTAAGAAAGTGTACTACTCTTTTTAGTCATAACTAAGTCCACCTTTTGGTAATTGAAAATAAATTATTAATGAAGGTAAATGCAAACAGGAAGAAAAAGCTACTCCTTTCTTTCCCCTTCATGTCAGATTGATAGGAACTGTAGAACTACCTGGAGGAGGCGCTGCAGGTCAAGATGCATCTTCGGAAATCTTCTATCATCCAGCAATTGTTTCTTTAAAGCAAAACCGCCTGCAGCCAGAGAAGAAAAGAAGTCATTCACAATCTACAATGAACTTAAACAAAATTAATAAAATATGAAAGAAGGCATTAGGAATTAAATACATCAGGAATATTTTTCAGCACAAACCCACAAAAATCAAAGCAAAAAGAAAATATAATTCTGGAATAATTGTGCATTTGTGCATTGGGGTGAGAGTAAAATGAAGAAGCAATTTCATGAGTGATTTTAGGATCTACATTTTAGGAAGTAATGGTGATATTTCCTACTCACACCCACCTCCCCCCAAACCTCTCGCACTCAGGAGCCAAACAGTGTCTCGCTCTCATTTTTGCTCCCTTAACCCTGGTTAGAGGTGAAGAGTCTTTACCATTAGGCTATCCCTTATAATGTAATTCAGGAAAACTTATTTATCTTTTTTTTACTCAATTAAAATTCTAGTCTCCTGATCCCAATATATATATGCACTGGTATTTGAATTTTTTTACTCCTACTGCACATATGAATGTGCAAGTAGCTTCCAAATAGAATTAAAATGAGGGTTGAAATTTGAAACAAGGATTACTTCAACAAGTTTAACATGGAGTGTCCATCAAACTGAATCATTCATCATGATGACCGGCATCACTAGTTGACAATATTCTGTCAGATTACAAATATTCCCTGGACCTTATGCCATGGAATGTGTTTTTTTTATCTCCGAACGCAGAATGAAATGATAATTTCATATTACACGAAAGGAAAAAGGAAAATCACAAAAATTGAAACAATCTTTAGCTCTAGTCAAGTTGTCCGCAGAAAAAATACTATAAATGTCAAAATACTTAATTTTTTTGTAAATTGGTCAAGACAATTAATTTCATGCATGCATACAAAACTTAATTTGTGAATAGATTAAATCACAAATTACTTTTTTTTTTAGCTCCAACACTCTGTGCACACATAGTTTCACATTGGCAACCGACAATATTTATAACTTGACGGAAACAATGCAAATTCTAGAAAAATCTCTTATTATTTCGAGATAAATTAAGAGTGTCATCTTCTCCTTGTTTGCCTACTGACCTCTTTCATCTACTTTGGTCCTCCTTCCAAACAATTCCAATTGTTCTCTCTTCTAACAATACCAAAACATCTCTACCATTTGATTTTTATCCTCATTAAATGATTAAAGAACAAAGAGCTTCAAGTTTTGGAGACAACATACAAAGTTGAGATAGTTAGTCCTAAGTTATCAAGGCCAAAAGACCTAAAACAAAATATAGATGAAGGTGGAGAGAAGTATTTGTCACAGAAGTCCAAACAACAGGAATAAACCAGGAAAAAAAAGAAAAAAAAAGGAGTGAAAGAGACGTCAAGTGGGAAACATAGAATTACTCAAATGAAATTATATAAGCATACATGGAGGAACATCATAGGTGTCATAAACTTAAATCACAATTTTTGGGAGTTATAGACATAAAAGGTATAGAATAGTTATGGGTGTTATTAGAAGTGGAAGTTATGGAGATGAAGAAGTGTAAGTTATAATGGTGCCTCAACTTTTTAAAATATATAAAATGAATGAAGAAACAACATATACAAACACAACAAAAAGCCACATGTTTAAACAACAATAACATATATTTTTCATATAAGTATTAATTTGCAACAAAATATCAATAGTAAACAAACGATATGATGAAACTATTATGTCATTCGCCTTTAATTTGGATCAATCATAACCGACGTAATTATTTGAAATATGTTGATCTATCTACTTTCTAAGGCTAATTTCGAACCATTACCATTGTGTTTGACCTTGGTGATATCAATGAAATAAGTGAGCATGTTTTATTAACCAGATAACTAACCAGCTTATAGTGCTTGAGAATGAAAACAGAGAACGGTAATGTCATGAATAGAGATCCCACTACCTTCCTCCAACTTCAGACATCAAGCAATCGGGAGATCAAAAATATGATGAAAAAAGATAGAATGAAGATAACATAGAAACCAATTCCTGGAAGTAAATTATCAGATCTTGAAATTCCAAAGCAGTTGTACCTGCTTGAAGAATTAAGGTGATAATAGATGCATAATCATAGAATTCATCACAGGAAACAACAATATTTTCAAACCAATAGGCAATAGTCTCATAGCCAAAAGCTACTTAACTAAACAATGAATACATGTTTTTCAGTCACTTAGCTAAGAGCCTGGATGGCTGCAAATTAACATGTCAACGAAACTGGATCATATAAGTCTAAAGTTATAAACACAAATTGGTTGGGTATACCAAAAATACTCAACTACAAAATATAGATAAAACATATTGCCTAAGCAAATTATTTTCATTACTTTTACTACATACAGTTGTAGTAAATCAGGAATAAGAGATACCTACAGGTCTCAATAAGATTCCTCAAGAGGAGAGGGAAAAAACTTCCTAACATCCATTGAGTACTTCTTACAGAGCTTCGCTAACAGAAAAATAAAACATCCAATCAATTCAGCTCTTCAACATAAATTTCATTTCGCAGATAACTCTCAAAACAAGCCAGCACCAAAACACTGTCGAGCAAACAGCATGCATGAATTGCTCTGCATATACGGTAACATATATAAGCACAAAACTTTAACATATCTTAAGAAGCAACCTTTACAAAGCACATGCAAAATTCATGACCCCGTAAAATATAATTGCAGAGAATAACTTCCACTAAAAGGCATGAGTTATAGAATATGAAGTGTCTGAAAATGCAACGTCTTGAAAACTACTGTATTTTCATTATTTTTTTTCCTTGAGTAACCACTTTCCCCCTTTAATTGAGTAAATACCTAGGCACTTTTTGATTTTTTAAATTAAGAAACCTAAAATTAATGAGGAAAAAGCAAAAACAGAAGGAAAAAAAAGTGTTTATCTTGGCCAATGAGAGGTTCCAACTGCCAAGTCACCTTGTCTATGACCACAAATATATAGAGAGATAGGGAGGGGGAGATGTACCTTTGTCAATTTCCAGCTCCATTGAGTCCAACTCAATCTCCAGCTTCGTCACAACATCTTGAAGGTGATCCACATGTGTGTCTATGATGTGAACAACCAAATTAGACACAGATTTAGGTACAGGATTATCACCTTCCTCAGAATGATTCATCATCAATAGAAAATCAAGAACATGCTCCCTGATTACAGTCCCACCCCTTTCCTTCATTTCTCCACCACCAGAACTTGGACTTTCCACAATGGGAACCTCTGAGAGAAGGGACTGATTTACCGGGGAGAAACCCAATCTCGGAACACGCCCTAATGACACGGTGATCACTGAATTCTCAGTAACTCTTGCTGCAATTCTAAATGTAAATTTGCTGGATGCAGGGCCAGGTGAATTGACTCGAAACACAAGAGCCCCATCTACATGCCCACAAAAGGGTCCATTGCTAACAAGTGACAAAATGTCTTGAAGCTTCATAGGAGGACAGAGTACATCAATAAGATATTGTGCAGACTCTGAGAGTCTCTGGTTCCACTTTGGAAGCTCAACATGGTACCAACAAAATTCTTTGCCTCTACCCTCTATTAAATCCCATTCTTTATTAAAATAATTCCCTTCTCCATCAAAGATATAAGCTTTTTGCCTCACAGCACCAGAGTATCGGGAGTTATTGTAACCATTGTCTCTACTATGTGCCCGTGAGGTCGTTTCTCTATCCATTTCCTCGCCTTCTCCTTCTATATTTAGATCTTTGCGACTAAGATCCATCACTCCTTACCCAACTTGTTTAATTTAGCTAATGATGAAACAACTCTCTATAACCTAAAATATATTCAACATGGATACCTACTTAAACTCCCTGAAATTTCCGACTTTATATACATTTTTCCCAGAAACAATTCGGACACAAGGAACTAAACCAGCAATAATGACCCAAATCAAGATAGGCAGAAATGTAGAGAACTCATGAAAACAGCCCTATCAGTTTTTTCCCCCAAAAAGAAAAAATCAGGCTAACCACATTAACCTATAAGGAATTCATGCAAATTTAGAATTCAATCTCATCACAGGCACACCAAGAAGAATAAGCACAATCATCCCAATACCTCATTATCCCATTGCATCAATGATCTGAGAAGAAATTACATACACCCTCAAAGCCAAAAGCTTCACGATATCCTTAATAAAGACATACACGGATTAACACAATCAAACACAACTACAGTTCAAATCCAAGCTAATTGGGGTCACCCAAAAACACATCTGTTTGGGTAAGGGATGAAAAATGAACAATATAGGCCCAAACAAATTAATTTCTGTACGATTCTTGTAACAAACAATCAAGAATTGACAAAAAAGATTAGCGGAGAAAACAAGAAAGGATCAATTGGTCAGATAAAGACAATGACTTTTCAAGATATTGGGAAGTTTCTTTGAAGGTTCTTGTTATTTCTGTCATCACCTGCGATTGTCAGTTGAATTTTTTAACATTTTCTTTGATTATTTTAAAGATAAGTGTTGCCCAGTAGCAACCCAAATTGTATGTTCACCCACCCAAAATATAAAATTTGTAAAACACAGAAGAGAATACCGCATTTCTAGCCTGTGTTCCATAGAATGCGGTTGCTGAATTTTCTGCTTCCTTCTTGTAATGCTGAGAAGGAAGTTGGAGCGGATTTATTGAATAGGTAATTTTTTTAGCGGAGCTTCAGTTAAAATGAAATGATAACTGCATTACTTTATGTGGTGACGCAGGTGAGGCTAGAGGTCTCGATTTCGAATTGTGCATATGAAAAAAAAATTGATAGAGAGAATTTTTTTCGAATGGGAATTTACTTGACGCGAATCTAGAATAATCTGGCTCTAATATGAATACTGAATATCAGGTGGAAAAACAAAAAGAAAAAAAAAAGAGTAGATAATAGAAACTGATAAATTATTTATCCTTATCATTTTCAAGATTATTATGGAAAAATAAAGTTACATTTACAATTTACAAATTATAATTGATAGGGAACTAACAGATAAAACTGCTAGGGAACTAATATCTACTGTCTATCATGACGATTAAGGATATTATAATTATATTTGTATTTTCACTTTATATTTTAATTTTAAAATAATTAATCAATTTAATTTTGAATTTATTTTTTCGTTGTTTAAACATATAAAAATTGGCAACTTTATAAAAACGGCATAAATTAGACTTTAAAAGATAGAATACTCAATTTAATTTTATCCGGTCATTAATAATTTAATTATATTTAGATAATATTAAATAGAACAAAGTATGAACGTTCATAACGAGTCCTATTAAAATCAAGAAATATTGGCCTGCTTTATCATCCACATAAGAATAATCAAGGTTTTTTTTTGAAAAAAAGTTATTAGTGAAAAAAGAACTTCAACAATAAGAGACATATAGCTAAAGTACTTGTAATTTCTTTTGTGAAAGTCTCACAGCTTGTTTGGATAGGCTTTTAAGCTGATCAAACTGATTTAAAAGTCAGTTTTTTACTTATTAAAATATTTGGCAATTATCAAAGTGACTTATTTTAAGTAAAAAATGACTTATTTTAAGCCAAAAGTTAAAAGCTAAGTGAGGGGTTTTTTTTTTTTTTTTAACTTAAAAGCCCTTTTATGTTGACCAAGGATATTACCTTTTTACCCTTAATTCTTTTATACAATTTCCAAAATGCCCATATTGAATTAACCCTAACATCTATTACTATTATTATTTTTTATTTTTTATTTTTTATTTTTATTATTATTATTATTGTTATTTTTATTATTATTGTTATTATTTTTTATTATTATTATTATTGTTATTTTTATTATTTTTATTTTTATTTTTTATTTTATTTTTTATTATTATTTCTTATTATTATTATTATTATTATTATTATTTCTGAAATATGAATTTATATTCCTCTTATAAGTAATTTGTGGTGGTAAAGAAGTATGTGAATGATAGACAATTATTATTACTTATGAATGAAATTAAAATAAATCTTAAATCTTTCAAGTGATCTATTCAAATTATATATTTTTAAAATCTAAAATAAGTTGCAGTTGCGCATATAAAATTAACTTAAATAATAAATTTATATTCCTCTTATAAATAATTTGTGATGATAAAGAAATATGTGAATGATAGGAAAATATTATTACTTATGGATGTAAAATATAAATTAATTTTGTTTTAATTTTTTTTAAGTATAAAAACCTTAAATTAATCAACTTTTTATCATGTTAACTACTTTAAGGGTATTTCAGACATTTTGATAAAAAAAAGTATTTATCAGCACTTATTTGCCAAACACATCAACAACTTTTTTTTCAACTGCAGCACTTTTATCCAAACACATAACTACTTATTTTAAAAATAAGTTTCAGCACTTTAAAAAGTTATTTTTTAAAAGTTACTTTTTTTAAGTTAATCCAAACGGGCTCTCAATCAATCTTCTGGAGATCTTTTTGTGATTTTATTTAGTCAGGCACATAAAAAAAATAAATTACGATTTGAAATAAATTCAAAACATTTGACAATAATGAGGGACAAACAAATCTAATCAATGGTCTCTATTTCTTGGCATTTGTTTGTGCAATTTGATGGGACCTAAAAAGCATCTAGGCTTTGGATTTTTACTTTTGCGTATACATGAATGACAAAGTACGGTTATTTTGTGGAAAAATAATTTAACAAGATTCTGATTCTCAAGTATTTTTGGTGCAATATTTAATGGAAAAGTTTGACATTTATATTTAATCTAGGGAAAAAGGTCTGAAATATATTTGAATTTTGACCGAAATTGTTGTAACAATATCGAACTTTGAAAATGATATGTTACCTCATGCACTATTTAATAGTGTATTTTAAAGGTATATATGCGCCCACGTGGACATCATAAATATTGCATCATCATAAATAGTAACGTGTCCACGTGGGCACATATATTTCTTTAAAATACACTATTAAATAGTGCAGGGGTAAAATGTCCTCCATAAAGTATGGTATCGTAACAACAATTTCAGTCAAAGTTAAAGTATTTTTCACACCATTTTCCCTTTAATCTATCATAAAAATTCTCAAGTTGGCCTTTTACATTAGGAAAAAGAGTCTGAAAAATACCCCAACTTTGACCGAATTTGCTATTACGATACCAAACTTTCATGAGGATCTATTACCCTCCTAGACTATTTAATACCATAAATTGTAAAATGTTACTTTATTTTTCCATAATATTTCCAATTTTTATTTTTTCACCCCCCTACCACAATTAAAAATATTTTCTCAAAAATATTTTTCATTCAAAAATCAAGCACTTAAAAATCTTTTTTGAAAAATATTTTCTACTCACCAACCAAACATGAGAAAATAAGTCAAAAATCTACTTGTTTTCCAGGAAATCATTTTCTAGGAAAACATTTTCCTTCAGACCAAACACACCCATAGTGAATACAAAAATATTAGAAACACCCCTAAACTTCACACAATTATTAGTTTCATTTTAAAATTATATTAATAATCTTAAAAATATTTATTTATTTGATTAATTAAACTTAAATAACTCCCGATCTTCCAACATGAGTAAAATACACCTTTAAAATGACAAGTTTTGAGGCATTTTCAACATTTCTCTCGATTTTTTATTAAAAGTTTCATGCTCCTACAAGAGTTTGAGACTACTGCGTCATGTGACATATCAAATACTCCCTCTGTTCCAATTTATGTGACTTATTTTCCTTTTTAGTCAGTCCCAAAAAGAATGATACATTTCTATATTAAATAACAATTTAACTATAAAATATTTATTTTACCCTTAATGAAATGATTTAACTTTAACTAAGTTAAATGAAAAGAACGAGTTAACTTTAACCTACTCTAGAAAATGTACATACAAAGGGAATAAGCCAGAAAGAAAAAGTAATGGATATGTAGATGATATAAAATATTGGGAATCCTCCATTTACCCGCCAATTGTCCTTCTCTCTTCCACATTATCCATTAATCCCCAATTCCTTCTAAAACCTCTCACACACCAACCGAACCTCCGATTTCTCCCAGAATTTCAGCCGCTGATCAAATGTGGAGCAATGGTTAGTCTTCCTGTGAACCAAAGTCGTTCAAAGATGCATCAGTTTCAAGCCTTACCTGCTCATATTCATGGAGATATGGTTGTACTGTTTCCTTCCAGAAAATGCTGGCAGCAACAGAAACAACACCATTTTCAGAGACCGGCATTGTCTTCTTCTTCTTCTTCCTCGCCGGTGTCTGGCCGTCAGTCCAGAAGGTATTATTTGGGCAGATTCAAAAGACGCTTCCGTTCTGAACCTAATCTAAAACCACTCACTTCCCGTATTGTTGATCTCACTCGCAGAAGGCAACTTCATCAGGTCTCTCTCGAATTAGAACATAGGGTTATTTTTCCTCAATTTACGCTCTTACTGTTTTAATTGAAGAAATGCCTTTAACTTTTAAATTAGAGAAAAAATTTATGGAGACTACTTAATATTTGTATTAATTTCAAAACAAGTTGGTCAAAACATTTGCTTCTTTCAAAGAGTGGATATACTGCTAGTCCAAGTACTAAGAAGAAATGCTTTCACAGTAGAAGTACTTCTTAATGCTAGAATTGATAAGACTTATCATTGTTATGTTGCAGTTCTACCCTGTTATAAAACTTTGACAAGCAGCCTATAGCACGATAACATTAACTAGCTATTGTTGTTTTCTTCTCCTATGGTTATGCCTAGTTTTTGTAGTACATAATCCTAAACTATCTTCTACCACTCCAAACATTTCAATCTTCAAGTGGCAGATTCTCGAGTGCCACTCAGCTGATAATTTGGACAGTTATGTGCGAGATGTCCCAAGGCATTTTAAAGATTTACCGGACAGATGTCCGTTACATAAAACGTGCATGAAGATCTATCAAAAGTTTGAACTTTTTCCCCATAATCGACTTAGAAGGTTTAGAGCCCACGTTACACTAAGGGAGTTCTAACCTGTCTTTTAAAATGTTGACAGTCTTAGCATCTTTTTATTACAAAAGCGTATCCAGGATTGCGGGATGATGAGTGCACTATTATGAAAATGTGGATCTAATTGGTTTGACATTTAGGTTCTTATCATTGAAAACAGTTAAAATTTTAAAATTATAGGTCCAAAATTGAAATATTTAATTAATTAAAACGCCAAAAGTACTATCAATAACCACTTAGGGATGTGTTACCCAATTTTAGAAAGAAAAATAAAACAAGATAGATATAAAAGTTAAATTTCTAACCTCACTGAGAGGTTCACCCAATCATCATCGCATTATATGATACTTCGAGTGTGGGTTCACACATTTTTATTTAACAAATTTTTTAAAAATATAACGCTGCTATATATGATTTCGAGAGGGGAGCATGGGTTCACGTGAACCCGGTGACCCCCTCCTGCATACGCCTCTGTCTTTACCTCAACTTTTTAATCATTAGACTAACAATTCATTGGCACTCGGACTTAAATCTACCTGAAGCATAATCTTGGGTATAAATTATTATCTTTTTGTAGCTTGAATGTTTGAATTTCTTTTATGAAGCATAATTAGTGTCTCCTTGCTTTGTATGCACCTTTATGTACTCACAGGTCACCAAGAAAATGTAAAACAATGCCGTAGTACAAAACTAAATTGAACTGTTAATTGACATACTTGATTTTCAAACAACTTGTTTTAACTCTCAAAATTGCTCATTGATCTCTAGATTTTTGTGGAAATTGAGATTGCGAAGAAGCGACATGGACAGTTGAATACCATTATTATGAATGCAGTGATGCAGGCTTGTGTTCATTGTGCTGATATAGAATCTGCCTTGAGGGTCTTTGATGAAATGTCAGGCCCAGAGGGTTGTGGTGTTGATAATATCACTTATGCTACACTTCTAAAGGTATTTGTAACACGGTGGTTTCCGTATATTTATTTTAAAAGCTGTAGCCTGTGAGTTGGTTATAGCCTGTAATAGTGGAAATTGAAGTATTCAACATATCTATGCATGTTTAATATGTTTCCTGGTAGGGTTTGGGTGATGCCCGAAGAATTGATCAAGCATTTCAATTACTTGAGGCTGTTGAACAAGGTACTGCTGCAGGAAGTCCAAAACTTTCGCCGCCTCTTGTTAGAGGTCTACTGAATTCTCTAATTGAAGCAGGTTAGTTTGTTCTCGGAGTAAATGGAATTTCATTACATGCTTTTATTGTTCTCCGAGATTATATTGCTGGTGAAAAATTTGGAGGCTGTAGGAGTAGGACTAACCCCTTATCGATATTGGATATCACTACTTAAAGAAGGATGGTAATTCCACGACATCTGAGCTATAAAATTGTAGAGGATTTGTATTACCATATCATATGTTTCTGAACCAATGCTTTTCTCTTCCTAGTTGATTGTTAGATTTTCCTAACCAAAGGTATCAAGTTCAAATGAGATTGTGATTGGAGTTTTTTTGATAAGTAAGTGAACATATGAATTCTGCTGTCCCAAAAATGCACCGGTCCATAGGTGTGGAACTATGGCAAGTGAAGGTGTTAAGAGATGGGTAAACCTAAAATTACACAGAAGGAAGTGATCTCGAAAGACCTACAAATGCTTGGCATCAATACAAACTTAGCTAAAGATTGAACATGATGGAAGTAAAAGATCCATATAGGTGATAACTACTAGCTGAGGATAGGTTTTAGACTTGTTAGAGAACTTCTAATAATATTATTGTTAGTGAATTTATATATTTTTTTAAAATTATTCTTGATAAAAATTATTATTATTATTTATGTATATATTAACTTATTTTTCACTTTTATTTTATTTAGTTTGATGATGATATGACATGAGCTTAAATGAAAAATAGGGATTCATATAGCTGGCCCCAACTTGGTTGAAACTGAGGTGATCAGTTAAGTGATTTCATTGATAATATCAAGGTCACTGAGGCGTAGTTGTGGTTGTTGTAAGTAAGTCGAACATTTTGTTGAAATATAGAAGCACACAAATTGTGCTGTAGCTTACATCTAAGGTTGCGCAACGGACCGGAACGGAACGGGACGGTTTGACCGGTACTGGGATGAACCGGACCGGAATTACCGGGACGGATACTCGGTTCCGTCCCGTCCCACTATATACCGGGATGGAACCGGAATGGACCGGAACGGACCAGAATGGAACGGGATGGGATAAACGGGACGACACATCTAGCTATTTCAAAAAATGATAAAATTTTTTAGTTATTTTGATTTTTTGAATTACGAAAATATGAATGTTTTTTTATTTTTCTAAGTTTAAACTTTAAATTAATAGTTTTGAAATTTATAAATTATAATGTAATTTTACTTAAGTTTATTTTAAAGATATTTTTTTTTAATTTTTACCAATTAATTTTACAAGTTAAGTTTAATAAAGTTTTTTTAAAAAGTTTTTTAGCTTAGTTTTCAAATTTCAAGATTTGAATCTTTAGAAGTTTATAAGTTATTACTTATTAATATGTTATAACTTATAAGTTATATTTATAACTTGTAATTTATATAACTTAAGTTTGTAATTTAAAAATAAAAATAAAAATAAAAATAAGGATAAAACAATGACACAATCACAAAATTTAAAAAATATCAATCCAATTTATTTAAATTTGTATTACAAATTACAATTACAATTTACAACTATTAGTAGAGTGCATAATTTACGCAGCCACCTTCTAGGAAGGGTTCTGTTTCAACTAAGCCTCAAGAAAAACAAGCCATTTTAAAACGTAGAAAGTACTACTTAATAAATATATTGTTTCATGTTTCTCACTCAATGCGTTCGATATGTGTTTTGAAATATCAACTAACTTGAATTATTGCACAAACTCATTAAAAGTAAGGGCGGATCAATATCATTGATGATCTAAAGCCAAATTGCAATTTATTTTATTTTTTTCAAAGAAAAATTATAAATATAATTTTTATTTAAAGTCTGTTTTCTAACTTTTTAAAACTAAAGTTATAAATAATTATTTTATAATCAACTTGATCTTCTAATATTATTTTTTCTTCAATTAGTAAAATAGTAGCAATCTATTCAACATTTTTTTTCAAACATTTCAAATATCAAACATTGGGAAAGTTATATATATATATTTTATATATAAATTATAATATAAAATATAAATTAATTAATAAAAAATAATTAACCGGAACCGGAATAAACCGGTACCGGTACACCGGTATCAAATCGTGATACCGTTCCGTCCTGTGTACCGGTTCACGGTGTCCCGTTCCGTCCCGAAGACTACCGGACCGGAACGAACCGGAATGGTACCGGAACGGTACCGGTATAACCTGGTCCGGTGACCAGTCTTACTTACATCTGGATCCTTACAAAAAGAAATAGGTTCTGTATCTAGGAACCTTCCAAAAAAACTTCAGTTCCTATCTAGTCTAAACTGAGGGTAAACTTAGGACATCTTAGAAAGCTACATACATCATATACATTCTGTATTTTGCACCAAAATTTTCCTCTTCTAAAATATGCGGAAGATTTGGGGTCTTGAAAGTTAGTCTTCTTATCTCTGGTTCCTTGTGCAAATTCATAAATAAGTTCTAGGATATGCCCTTTGACTTCTAGGGCACCTTTTTCCATTTATAGTTTGTCAATGTGGTTATGTCTTCTGTGGATAGTGCCCTTCTTTGGAAAGAAACTAATTTTTGTGACATTACTTTAGTCACAGACACTTAGATTTTTTTCTTCAGGAGATTTCTTCACATCCTTTCACCTAGTGTAACTCCATCTCTAGCCTGCGTCCCTGTTCTTTGAGAGAATTCTTCTTCCTTTAATTCTCTACTTTCTGCCAACCTATATAAATCCAGTAACCTTGAAGGATGTCATTTTTCTTTTTTGATGATTCCCAAAGGTCTTGCTATTTCCTTCCTTCAATTAACATTGCTGACCTTTTGGCCAAACTGAAATTAGGTCTGTCATTGATTTTTGGAATTGTTTAGCATCTTTACATCATCTATACATAATTGTTTTTGGTGTAAACAATTATGTATAGATGATGTAGATCAAATAGTAGAACTGATAGGAAGCTTGTAAATTTTGTTTGGGTCATGGTTGTAATCCTTTTTGATGGTGGCCAGCATTTCCTCAATGCTGAAGAATACTACTTCCCAATTGTAAAAAAAATAAAATCTGAGATAGTTTTTCTAGCACTAGCCTCGTTGTAGTTTGTGGAAGAAAATAAAACAAGAGGAAAGACTCTTTATCATTCTTTACTTTCTATACTAACTTGTCATTTTATTTCCTTCTTTCTTCTTGAATGCTTTCCACACAAATGTCAGGTGGTGCTTTATTATTGGATATAGTTGTTTGTGTCAAGATTTATGTCTTGGCTTACTTAATACCTCCTTTACTTCTGCCTTTCTAGTGCAGGGGATCTACGCCGTGCTAATGGTCTTCTTGCACGATATGGTTTTGTATTTCACGAGGGCGGATATCCATCCGTCTTGGTCTACAACTTACTGATGAAGGTCTTCTGCTTACCCACAAGTTTAACTTCTGAATTTGTTGGATCTCTGCATTTATCATTCTTTATAAAAAAATCATACATCAAATTATTTCTCAGAGCCACTTCCTAAATTTCAGGGGTACATAAACACAGGTTGTCCTGAGGTAGCACTACGTTTGCATGATGAAATACTAAGACATGGACTGAACCTTGACAAGCTCACATATAATACACTAATCCTAGCATGTGTGGAGTCTGGAAAGTTGGATGTTGCAATGCAGTTCTTTGAGGGCATGAAGGTTTCATCTCTGAACTCGAAAGGCCAGTTTAGAGCTCATTATTTGCTCAGATGATGTTGCACACATAATTGTAATCTGAAATGTATATTTGACTGGTGCAGGACAGAGCACAAACTGTTGATGATGATGACATTTTACCGGATGTAGTTACCTACACTACGTTGCTGAAGGTGCGTGTGCATGATGCATTTTGTATACAGTTAAAAATCATCTTTTGGAACTCGTACTATGGAAATGAGATAAATAGGTCTCGGATAAAGTGAACAATAGTTGAGAGTCTGAGATGTTGTGCTATTGATCTTAATTCCTCTTTATTCTTATGAAGTTATATATCTTCACGTATACTATCTTTTCCATTAAATTTACAGTGTAGTAATTATTTCACCATTTAAGTATATGGTTTTAACGAAAGAGATTCAATTGAAACTTTGCCAGAAACCTGTACAGTCTTTCATTTAATATTGATGAGTTAGGTTCTCTACTGTCATTTCTTGTTAGTGTTTAGAATTTCTGCTCCTTTTTGTAGGGTTTTGGTCATGCCCAGGATCTTCTTTCAGTTCAAAAGATTGTCATAGAAATGAAATTATCCAACAACGTGCATATTGATCGAGTTGCTTACACTGCAATCATTGATGCCTTCTTGAACTGTGGGACAATAAAAGGTATGCTTTATGCAGATATTTCTAAAACTTCTACAACTCAGGGTTATAAAGTCTATTAAAAAAACTCATGTCAAGTCCAAATAATAATTAACATATGGTGGCTATCAATGGTGAAACTGAAGTAACATTTAACACAACATTGTCCATATTGAATCTTAGCATCTACAGATAAGGGTCTAAAAGGCATGGATACTAATTGCTTCCACAAGAAATTTACTATGTATGTCATGTGAATTCTTCTATCTATGTACAAGTATATCAGCTTTCTTTGAGTTTCCTCCACTTACAATTTGATGAACTGATTCAGGTCACAAAGACCAAAATGTTCAGTTTGGAAATCAGCTTTATTAGTTAATTGCTAAGTCTTTTTGAAACAAAATTTATAGATTTAGAAGTGACATATAAACTTACCGGGGACTATATGCCAATGTTGGGATAAGTGTGACATTTGGTAAACATCCTTCTTAGAAATTCCCTAATTCGCCTGAAATTATTTTTACCAGAGTAGTATGCAATAATATGGACATGAATAAGGCGGAATGGTTACAGAAATTCCATATAACCGTCCACAACTTTGTTGGGACCGAGTTGTCGTAGTTTTACAGAAATTATGTACAGAGCACTATTACCACAAGTTTTAGCATTGAGGAACTTTCAAGAACTATTTGAAAAGTTGGTGGTAGAAGAGAAATTTGTTTGACCTTTCGTAGGTCCAGTAAAAGAGGATACAGTGCCTATCCCTTAAGTCGCCTTAAATATACATTTGTTTCTATGACAAGTGAAAAATAACAACATACCCAGTATATTCCCACAAGTGGGGTCTGGGGAGGGTGGGGTGTACACGACCTTACCTCTAACTTGTGGGTTGAGAGGACAAGTGAAAAATAAACAAGACAAAAAATGTAAAAATACAACTGATAAAAGAAAGAAGATTAGCTTTCATATTTGACTTTTATCAGTTTACCTCCTCCTGTCTCTGCCTTAAGCCCTTACTGGCCAAACATATTCAGTGATCTGTTGAGAGGAGTTCATTATTTGAGTTCAGTGTTTCCCTGGTCTATGTTTAAGTCTTTGAAAGTGGTTTCTCTAAAACATCAGTGCTTGAAAAATGGAACCTTTTCATCATTGTTTTTTCCTATTTGATTTTCTGACAATCAGACCACATTTAAGTTTCAGAGTTTCTAGAAGTCAAAGAGGCTTAGTGGTTTAGAATTCAGATCTGTGTATCAGTCTTGAAAAGTTATCTAGTCAAATAATGAGCTTTCAGTTTAAGAAGCATGAGTTTTAAATAATGTAGCTAAAAGGCTGTTAGCTGGCAGATCAGGGAACATGAAATGGGATCTTAAGAACCTTCACAAGAAAGGTTGGACAAACTCCAATGTTCCATTAAGAATGTTAACTTCATATAACATGTCACTGAAAAATGCAGATAGACAATAGATCTGCTGTTTATTTGGTGATATCAGTAAGCGATTTCACATTTTTAATTCATTCAGTATCGAGAAAAAGAACTGTGCTAAGATTTTGATAAGTATGAAAAACTTGCTAGAGTGCAGAAAACATTGTTAAGTTTTGGTGGCAAGATTCTTTCTACAATGGTTAACTCTGTGACAAGTCTAAAGCATTTATGACAGTGAGGCTTCTGTCTGCATCAAGGTTGTACTTGAAAGAACAAAACTGTGAGCCCAATTGGGATCTGGGCTGAAATGGAGAGTATCACCTCTCACACAACAATACATCAGACATTTTTCTTGATCTAGTAATAACAACAATATACCAGACATGTACATGGTGCTTGTTGCTAGACCTCCTGGCTGTCACAGGTCAACCATTACTATATACAGAAGAAAGTATAAATAAGTCTTGACCACAGTTCATTCCATTGGCAGGCTGATATCTGGGGACTGTCCCACATTAATAAGCTAACTGAAGTGTAATTAACACCTTCATAAGAGTGAGGAGAATGTCAGTCCACAGAAGTGCCTTATATAATGGAAAAACTAACAATAGTGGGCAACTCTAGTAATACCTCTCATATTGCAAATAGATGCAGTCCATTACAATCTATCATCATTTATAGTATTGAGTATTGTCCATTTTGAAAGAATTAGTAATTGCTTAGGTATTTCTTGTTATTGGTATTATGGGTTCATGTAAATCAATTTTGGAATATATGCCAAATTCCTTTTTTTTTTCTCGCGCAGGAAAGAAAAAACCCATAGGAATCTGGAAAGTATTCCTAAATTCCTATACCTCTAGACTAATGACTTTTTGTCAGCATTAATTGGTTTATGTGTTTAGATTGCTAAACAAATTGATGCACAAAATTACTCCAGTGGGGCGAATTAATCTCTTAATGAAGTATGTTTTCTGTAGTATGAATATGCAGCATATCCATCTCTTATGAAGTTGAAGATCTCCATTTTTGTGGGGATTCATACGTCAATGCAGAAATCAATGTGCACTGTCGTGTTGTTTAATTCTCTTCCAAGTAGCTTATACAGTATTGTTTTTGCTGATAAGGCTTAAATTCCTCCTTGAATGACTGGAACTGCAAGTTGTAAATCCCTTGCTTAATTTATCCGTACTCACTATCCTGAATCTCACTCATGAATATACATGTTCTCCTTTGTGTCCTGCATTATAGTTATCCATCTTATATTTTCCGATGCATGGATGACTTCAATAAAAGAAAGAAAGTAGATTTTGATAGTTCAAAAGAAAGAAAAAAAGTAGATTTACAGTGCAACTTGATCAATAATCTCGTACCATCAAAAATTTGCTTTTGTCATTATAATGTGCAATTTTAACTAATTAAAGAAAAGAGTATGTAAGTTATAACTTATAACTGTGTTGATTATTCTCAAGAAAACACTATAACAGCGTTGATGGATTTTCTGCTACCTCCACTGTCACTTTGCATATTGAATATTTGTGCACAATATGATAGGCGCTCTGACTGTGTATGGGGAACTACTAAAGAAAGCTGGAGAAGATTCTAGCTTGAGGCCAAAGCCTCATCTTTTTCTTGCTCTGATGCGCGCTTTTGCTGTTAGAGGAGAGTATGAAATGGTTAAAAAACTGCATGGACGCATGTGGCTGGATTCATCCGGAACAATCACCTCTAAAGTTAATGAAGAGGCTGATCATCTCCTAATGGAGGCAGCATTGAGCAATGGACAGGTACTTTCTGCATACACTTGGTCTTGATCTTGACGTTCTTATACACCAGCTCAGGTAAGTCTGGACAACAATATATGTTCCACTTTCCCTGGAAATCATCTTACTGGACTGTTCTATATGTTCCACTTTTATGGAAATCATTGACATTGTTCTTGATTTATGAAAAGAGGTTACACTTAGTGCTGTGGACAAAATTACTTTATCAATTGAAAACTAGGCAAAATAAATTGGAGAAATCAAATTTTGTGGAGGTGAAACTGTGAAAGGAGGATAATCCCTCCCAGATTTTTCTGCCAGAATCATTGATTTTTGGCCAGAATCGAAGATCCTGCTTTCAATTCCCAGTGTTTCGTTAGAGTTTTCCTCCCTTGCTTTCTCCATCACAGAGATTGCTTGCAGAGTCCCCCCTTGCACTGCTTCTATTACTGAGTTTCAAGACTTATGGCACCTTAAATGAGCTTTTGTCTCAACACTGGGACAAACTGTTATTGACTGCTTCACGTATCTACTGTATTATGGTTAGCTTGGAAACATTAAAGGAAGACCATCATCCAGTGGAGTGAAAAGCAGTTAGAAAGTGGTCGCTTCACTGCTTAAAGCAAGGTGAGGCGAGCAAGTAGCGCTTCTAGGGTGTTAGGCAACGCGACTTCAATGAAGCAGTCACTTCTTGGACAGAAGCGAGACTCTATCCGTGTACAAGCAGATCAGGATATTATGTCACTCGTGACTGACCGGTTTATGTAGTATCTAGTATTTAGTACTAGGACTACCGCCGTGGTTCAAGCTTTTTTCATCCCTTTGACCTTTGGGTTTCGTGTTTAAACAAGTTCTTCGTTATGATAGTGGTAATACCTTCAGTATTGCAACTTTCAAGATTGTCTGAGATAGCAACTAAATAACAGTAATTTATTTCTCCTTTTTCTTTCTGGGCTAAATCAGTTTTAGCAATTTTCTGACCATCGTGTAGGCATTTTCTAACTTAACCTGAGCAAATAGTGGATCCTATTAACTGGATTTCTCTTAATGTCTAAACCTAGACATTTTCTACTTAACTTGAGCAGATAGTGGATACTATTATCTGGTTATTTCTCTTAATGTCTAAACCCTTTTTGTCATTAAATAATCCATTTTTTCTTTTGAAAATCATGAGTGGTAACAACAAGCAGTTGCTATATGAAGTGTTCGCAGAAGCTCATTTATTTGTTTCGGCATGAATTTATCGTTGTTCTTCCTCTATTATACATTCTGGTTTTTCATTGATTGGCTTTCTGGTTGGTTGCTCAAACTGATATTAAAATACTATTCTTCTTTTTTGATAATGGTAACTTTTAAAATAATATGCTTCTACTTTTTAAGCCTTTTGTTTTTTGTTCAATTCTGTGAACCATCTCATCTAAATGATTAAGTTTATATATTTTCCTTAGGTCTGCAACACGCCTCTTGTGACCTATTTTTTTCCCTTGAATCAAGCGCGTGAAAATATTTTTATTGATGGGTTAGCAGTGAGACTTGAACTTAGGACCTCTGTTCGTAACGGTATCAAGTTGGATTGTATGAAGCACTTTATCTAAAAATCTTAACTTGTATATAAATATTTTAGGTTTGCAACACTGTATTTCCACCCATTTGACTTCCAACAACCTTGCATCAATATAATTTACATGTTTTTATGAGATCAGTCAGCTATTCTACTTGTTATATCTTATCTTTAAAGTTTAAATATGTTTCAAAAAGAGCACTTCTCATGTCTTGGATCCACCATATTGTATATAATTTTTTTTTACTATAAATACCTTTGCTAATTTTTTTCCAATGAGTATCTATGCTAATTGTTGCTCAACTGGCCTTTTTCAGTTGGATTTGGCCCTACAATACATGAAAGGCAATGTTGAGAAATGGAAGAAAATACCATGGGCTAGTCGGGGTGGAATGGTAAGCCTTAGTCTCTAATAATTTCATTTATTTGAGTTTCAATAATACAATTACTTTGCTCCTTTTTTCTTGATAACCCAATTTACTTGGCTCCTTTATGATATGCTAGATTCGATTTGTGCTTAAGCTTAGCGTTTTTCAACTTCATGAGGCACATGTAGTGCCAACCTTTCCAAACTAAGGGCTCTAGAAATGGCACTGGGATTTATCCAAGCAATCATATCTATATAGTGGTAGATGGTATTCTACATGTCATCCTTGACAGCTCTCCACATAAAATAGAAACTTAGAGTTAAAAAAATCACAGTAAATCTGTCTGGAGCTGGAACTTTGTTCCCTTGGAATCTTTTTGGCTGTCATCTCTAACAAATCTATGTTGGGGACAGTATGAAACTGGGGTTTCCAGCAACCTGTGAGAAGTGGCCACTGTGCAACAAGTATGCCACCCCTCTTCCCTGGATCCACATCTTGAAACAAGGGAGCGAAATATAACATATGGAGGTTCATGAAGTCCACGTAGAATTGAGGCAAGATCAGAAACAACTATCCTGATACATTGATTGAGAGGACTAAGAGTCTAAGACTTCCAAGTTCTTCTCAGCCTCATAAGAGAAGCTGAGATACGTCGAAGTGCTAGATACACAATACTTTCTCATTCAAGCTGTAGTTTCTAATGCTTTCAGGTAGTTTAGGATTAAAAGCTTTTATATCTTAAACACATTAGTTTGCCAATATTGAAGGATCTTCGTCATATTTTTTTGAGCGATTAATTCTCCTGTCATTCCTTGGTATAGAGATTTATCAATTGAATCAGAGATGGGTTTTTTTTTTCTTTCTAATCTTTAGATCTTATGCAGTGTCTTAGAATCCATAAGATATATTCACATAAACTAGGGTAAGAGTGTGTAGATTTCAAGCAAACCAGGCAACCATAAGCTTAGAGACATCGAATAGCTTTTTTTTTTGTTGTTCCTTTTCTCCCTTTAGTTTCAGGTGTTCCTTCTGTTTGATGTTTCACATGGTACTTGTTTTGATCCTTGGACTTCCTATTGATATCTGTTTCATATCTTTCATGCCACCTACCTATATTACAGTTTAATACTATTGCAGGTTGCTCTGCGAATTGAAGCATTACTTGGTTGCAGTGTTTCTATATTTAGTCCTTTCATACTACCACAGGTACACAATCCCATTTTGCACTCTCAGAACCATTGATGTCAACTAATTCCTTTGTTTGCCAGGCAAGCACTGTATTTCTACTTATGGTAGAGATGAGCTTTCATTACTTCTTCTGTTTCAAATACTCATCACTATGGTATTTGTAATATTTGCTTTTCTGCTCTGAGACTGAGTTTGTGTGGAGAATTAGGTAAGTGCAGTAGAAGCTGAGTTTGTGCCATAGATTGCTCTAAAGATAATAGAAGTTGACCATGTTCAGTCTGATCGTAGTGTTGTTTGGTATTATTTGGTTTATATGTATATTAACTACTGGTTACTAATATTTCACTATTTTTGCTGTCAATATTTCTCTTTTCTTAATATTTTCACTAGAGCTTCTTTCACCTTGTATTTTTTGAACCTGTTTTGAAATATTTTTCTTGAGGGGAGGGTCTATCAGAAACAACCTCTCTGCCTCACAAGGTATGGGTAAAGTCTGCGGACACTCTACCTTCCCTAGACCTCACTTGTGAGATCACGTTTGAGTATGTTGTTGTAATATGAACTATTGATAGGACAATTTCGTCTTTTTCCTGGTACAGGTGTCAGTACGTGATACTATTGAGCATATCATGGTTCCATTTACTGAAGCACAGCCTCTGCAAGCTACCCTGAAACTAAAGCAAGTCGTCATGCGTTTCTTCAAGGATTCGACTGTTCCAGTCATAGATGATTGGGGAAGTTGTGTTGGAATACTGCATTGTGAAGACTGCAATGAGGTACTTTATCTTCGACCTCTATGATCTATTTGGCTATCTTTATTAACTGCATGACTCTATTCTCTAGTTTGTCTCGGTGTGCTTCTGAAACATTATACACTCTTCTACCGCTACAACTCTACCTTCGTAATATCTTTATCATTTGGTTACATTGACATTGTATGTTTGAGGTGTTGTAGAGATTATTTATCTATTAGCAGCTTGCTTGTGAATTTTATCCCTGATGTGGCAATCTGATTATCACCATGTTCATGCCAGATAATAAGATTATATATCCTTAAGAACATAGAGTTTTTAGTGATGAACGATTGAATTAGCTGTGGGCAGGGATTGAATTAGCTGAAAAGGGGTTTATGTAAATGTTAGAGTGGGTAAAAGTCCCACATTGGTTGGGGAATGGACTGGTGGTCTCCTTATATGGACTTGGGCAATCCTCCTCTCATGAGCTAGCTTTTGGGGTTGAGTTAGGCCCAGGTGCCATATCTTTACAATAAATAAGAAAAATTTGGGATTTTAAAAATATGTCATTAGTACTCTAATTACAAAAGAGTTCCTCCTACCCAATTTTTAAAACTTGAGTTTTAGACTCTGAAATAAAAGCCTCAAAAGGCTCTTTTAATTCAATTCCCCTACTATGTCTCAATTAGCAAGTCATAGGACATTTTTTCAAGATGGTGCACGGTTCCCAGTTACTACTTAAGTGACTCCTTCTTTAACGACTTCATCCAGTCAATGACATCCTTGCAGACTGACAAGAGCCTTTCTCTGGATACTAATAGAACACAAGCCAAGGAATTGTCATTTTTCTAACCCAAGGAACTAAGCAGGAAAACAGAAGCACCTCTTATTAATTCTCTCTATTTGGGCTCCCGGTCCACGCTCCAATCAGGTCTGGACATGAAGGGGGGTGTTAGAGTGGGTAAAAGTCCCACATTGGTTGGGGAATGGACTGGTGGTCTCTTTATATGGTCTTGGGCAATCCTCCCCTCATGAGCTAGCTTTTGGGGTTGAGTTAGGCCCAGGTGCCATATCTTTACAATAAATAAGAAAAATTTGGGATTTTAAAAATATGTCATTAGTACTCTAATTACAAAAGAGTTCCTCCTACCCAATTTTTAAAACTTGAGTTTTAGACTCTGAAATAAAAGCCTCAAAAGGCTCTTTTAATTCAATTCCCCTACTATGTCTCAATTAGCAAGTCATAGGACATTTTTTCAAGATGGTGCACGGTTCCCAGTTACTACTTAAGTGACTCCTTCTTTAACGACTTCATCCAGTCAATGACATCCTTGCAGACTGACAAGAGCCTTTCTCTGGATACTAATAGAACACAAGCCAAGGAATTGTCATTTTTCTAACCCAAGGAACTAAGCAGGAAAACAGAAGCACCTCTTATTAATTCTGCATTGTTCATCCTTACACTTTCTCCAACTTCAACGGAGAGGAAATTATGGTCAGTCCTGACAGATGAAGTCAACCTACTTGAAAATGACTGGTTGATCTTATCCAGACAGTTTGAAAAAATAGAAGTGACTAAGGTGGGAAGTATTGGTCTTCATTTCAAGCAATTATCAATCTACCTCACATAGAGATGGAGTTATCTGCTTCTACATGACATCAAACTCCAGAAGACTAGTATATGAGAGAGTTCAATAGTGGATCAGACGATGAAAGCTGCTTAAGATTGTGACATATTAGAATAGATATCTACTGCTCAATGCACAGGTTCAAAGAGTGCAGCTAGTTCAATGTGAAGAAGATATGCAGAAGCATCATTAATGTGTGGGTCCATAGTTGAGATTTGAATCTGAAGAAAAATAGCAACTAAGGTAGTGTTGTGAATGGCAACAGGATTGTCTTCTGGAAAGAGATATAGATTGGACAAGAGAATTTAATGAGTACGTATCCATAACGTTTCTCCCTCTCTACCAATTCAGATGCAACAGTTGCTGACATGAGGTCCCCCTAAGGTGGAACATCTCTTGTAAAAGACACGTGAATGACTGGGAAGTGGAGAGAGTGGCAGAGCTTTTGCAAAACTGAAGTGGGTTTGCAGGTGTTTCCCCAGAACCTGATACTATAAAGCAGAAGCATGACAATGATGGTAAATTCACTATTAACAGGCTGTATAGGAAGGAACTGAAGGTGCAGCCAGGCTACAAATCAGTCCCCTGGAAACAGATCTGGAAAAAGCCTGGCCCCAAACAAGGTAACATGTTTTACGTGGTTGGTAGGGAGGAGAGCTTGCATCACTCCGTGAAGGTTATAAAGGAGAGGATTCCGTATAGCATCTAGGTGTTTACTGTGCAATGAGGCTGAGAAAACTAACAAGAGTGTTGCAAAGCCACTTCACAAATTTGGGCTTAATCTCTAATCTCTCTGACACTAGGTAGAAGATAAATGACCAATGACCATCAGATTACTAAGATTTAAATATAAAGACAGCAATCCTAGAGCGAAGACACTGCTATGTGGTTGGCATTTTCTCAGTTCCACTCCTTTGTTTAACTTCAGACTGCATGGACTATTTCTCATCCTTCATTCTGTTTGCTGTTCATGTGAAATTGATCTGAACTTGTTGTCTCAGAAAAATTGGCCGAGTTCATTGTGAAATGTAAAAGAAAAATAAAAACAGAAGCTAATATTCTAAATTCCTGTGTCCATTGCTTTATTGAGTAGTTAATTTGGTTGTCTGCTCAGAGATGTCACACTTGGGTTGCGGAGTTCTTCTAATGTTTTTATGCCTATTGTTGCAGCTGGATGCGCCACTTTCAGCCATGATGAGAAGTCCACCTCCTTCTGTGACAACCTCAACATCCATTGGTCGTGTTATTGATCTAATGCTAGAGAAGAAGTACAAAATGGTTATTGTCGCAAAATACGAAAATGTGCGCGGAATGTTTTACAGCTCCAGTGTAAGGGCTGTCGGAGTTTTTACGTCTGAACAGCTATATAAGCTTGCTCCAACTTCATCAGAGCTAAGCGTTCAATATTCTTCTGCCTGTAGAGAACCTATTGAAATTTGTAGATAGTATACCTTGAGAAAGAAATTTGCATGAACTTATTCTTTTTCCACTGTAGAGTAGGCTGTCATTTCTTTTGGGCTGCTAAGTTTTTCGTGTGTCACTTATCGCGTGCTAGATTGCAATACTATTGACTATGAATGGTTTGAGTATCTGTTCAACTTTATATGATGTTGGTGCAGGGTCTGACAGAAATATTCACAGTATATGGAAATTTTGGAGTTGTTGAGACAACTAAAAACTAAATGTGTTCCGTCTGTGGGTATGGACGAGCTTTGACTGTACCAGCATTTATGGAAAACAGGTTCCTCATTGTGCTTTTTAAAATGAGATGATCCCTAAATTCAATACGTTATCAGAACAGCCATCAAAGTATATAAATTTGAAAATTAAAAACACTACAAAGAAGTTGAAAATTCAACTTATGTATTCACTCTATCACCCTTCTATTTCTTTTTTCATTCTTTTCATGCACGATTTTGTATTTCTCAATAGTATATATTAGTGAAAAACCACTTGTGATGACAGTTTTGCTTATGTATTTACCGTTGGTCGAATTATAAGCCTAATTGCTAGAACTTCCACTTCAATATCTTGTTCAAATTTCTTCCAGTTCACATCCTGATATTCAATGTATCAACAAGATCAGAAAATTTCTTCAAAGAGCCTACAACAGGTATTGTAAATGGATTTCAACATATGTTTCTGATTTTTCAAGTTATTAGTTCCACTTATTATGAGCATGTTACCTATAGTTTCTAAAGTGTCTATTAAATAATAAAAATCTGCGGGGCTGCTGCGGTTACTCATGTTATATTGTGTCTGTTGTAAATAAAAGAGCTCATGCCATAAATTGCTAATGAAGAAATACATGTATCAGTCAATGATGTGTTAGTAGGCAAGGTTTTCTCTGCCTTCCAAGATATTGCATAACAAATTTGTCTCTTGCTGCCCTATTTTGTCATAATCATGTATATAGATGGTGTTAAACTTAGAAAACTAGCATAGAAAATAATTATTGCTCACTATTTCACATCATGTATGAAAAATAAAATTACAACTCCCACTTAAAGACTTCAATGCAGTACAGTATTGCTTTTGGAAAACTATAATAAGCATACAACAAGAGACGATTCACAAACTAAAACAATAGATGAGAACTCATTTGTGGTCTTGCCGGGAGATGACAGTTTCAAAAGCACCAGCCAGTGCTCTCACTTTGTTCTTCCTTTGCTCCCTAAGTTTGCTTGCAGTCTCTTCAATTACATTATTTGAAACCACAGATTCAATATACTTACCTTGCACCACGTGATGCAGAGATTTTGATGATGCAACATTCGTATTTTTCACTGGTTCTGCTTCTGTACTTTCTTCTACACCGACTTCAACTTGATTGGGACTGAGATTTTCAGTTTCTTCTACCATGGGAGTTTCTTTCTCTTGGTTTGTTTCTTCGTCCTCCTCTTTCGATTCTTGATTCTCCTCTGTTGCATTTATAATGGTTTCTTCTTTTTCCTTCTCTGATGAATCAGGTTCGCTAGGCTCATTGTTGATTTCTTCTGTTTCTTCAATTTTGATTTCTGGATTTTCCACTAGGGTGGCTGATTCATCTGGAGCGTTGATGTCCTCCAATTCAGCACTGTTTACATTTTCATTACTAAGCTCTTCAATATGATCCTCTGTGGCTGAATCATTTTCATTTTCATTCTCATTCTCATGCTCCCCTCCATCAGAATCAGCAATCATTTCATTGTCACTTATGGTCGTTTCCTTTTCAGTTTCGTGAGTTGTTAGTTCTTGATGATCCTCTGGCTCTGACTGTTCACCCTCATGAGAAATGACATTCTGAGCTATATCTGGAGAATTTGCTGTTACTGATGCTTTTGTAGTTGAACCACTAGCACTATCATGCTTCATGGTTGTGGTTGTGGTTGTGGTCGTCTTCTTTTTGGTCACTGGCCTAGAATTCAGGCCAGCACCGCGTTGTTTGCCAATGGCATCCTTACTAGTAGTAGTTTTTGATAATCTATCCAAAAGGGGTTTCTGAGAAGTGGAAGTCTTGGTTGATAAAGAAGACGATGAGCGAGGAATTCTCTCCTTAGGACTAGGGGAAATTCTGGTTTTTGGTGAGGAAGAATGCAGGGGAGGCTTGTTATCGAATGATCTTCTTCGAGCTAGATTAGAAGTTTTGGTACTGTGAGTGTTGTGCAGGTCACTTGAAGATGCAGACTTCTTAGCTTGAGTAATTGTTGATTTGAGGTAGCTAGGAACATTCTTGTTTAAAGAACTAGTTGTTGATGTTGGATCAACTTGTTTTCTAACAGGTGATGTTGTTTTTGATGTGTTTGTTATACTTCTTTGGTGATGTATTGGTGATGTTCCTCTCTTCTCCTTCCCTGCAGGAGCTGTCTCTCTTGCTCTTGTTGCCATTCTTTTTGCCTTTGTCTAGAATAGATTTTATATCTGCAAAACAAAAGAGATGTAACGTTTATTCAATAATAATGTTGGGAGTCGCCACCCCCAAATGGGCTCTACAGTGCGGGATCCAGATTTAGTTGGAGTTCCAATGTGGACACCGGTGGGAAATTAAGAAAGAAACTTTTATTCAATAACGATATATAAATTATTTAGTCGATCAAGTGACCTAGAAGATAATATGTTGAATACATGTACGGCTGCTTAAACTTGTTGAGGATTTTCACTTAGACATATGAACTCTTGGACGGACCTATCTTATTAGGGTGCATGTGCACTCGTTAACCTTAGAAAAACTATCATGTCTATTGGATTGGGGCATCTGGTCGTCATGCCCCTTAGGCACTGTTGGAAGCACTCAAATATTGAGTCCCCTTCTGTCTGAACTAAGATTTGTATCTATCGAACACTTCAATCGTATCTAATAAACACATCTTACACAAGTCTTAGGGTTAGCTTAGGTAAATGCTTCTTTTTCATTTATTTATTTTGTCCCCAATTCATGTAAAATGGTTACTTTTACGAATCTTCTTTAATTATTAACCAAAGCTTTAAAAAAAAAAAAAAAGAGGGCATGCAAATTACAACTACTACTTTGAAAATATATATACATTCACTACTAATTTATAAGAGGGACTAAGCACACACGTCTCGGTCGACATGTTTGCTTCCCGGAAATATCCACTAAGTTTGAGGATAATTTTGTCATTTTAAGTTTATGATGGCTGTTTGCAAATTAGGATTTTCAAAATATCACATGTGCCACATATATTATTTAAAAAGTACATTTAAAATATTATAAAAATAAATGACAGTAAAATTATAAAATTAAAATATATAAAATAATATATATTGGGCCCGAACTTGTCCAAGCTTTTGTACCTAGTTTTACAAATATAAGTATTAATTGCAACAAGCAGAAAATACACTTTAATAATTGATGACAAAAAGATCTCTTTTACCTTCTCAGCCACATCTTCAAAATGGAAAAGTGCATCTTTTTCTTTCTTTCTTTCATGCACTTTAAATCTTAGAAAAAAGACTTATCATAATTCTAACCTTCTCAATTCATTTTTCCTATCCTATACGAATAACACTAAAACATATTCAATGTAATAGTACTGGTGGTCCTATTTTTATAAGATAAAGAAACCGTTTATGATAGACTACATTTCTAATAGACCATTGGTTAAATCAATTCCCCTTTATTTATCTATTGTCTACTGATCCGCCATCCCCATATAAACCTATCTACCCCATCCAAAAAAGAAGAAAAAGACATTTAAAAAAATAGTAACCAACAATATTTTTGAATGCTTTAAGAAAAGTTGTATGAATTAAACAATGTAAAAGATGCTTCAATTGGTTATTCATTTAGAAAGAAATATCATAAAAATCATGAAATTAAACAAGGAGAAAAACACACCTTTTTGGATGAAATGAGATTATGAAAAGCCTTTATCATAGTTGGTTTTTTTTTTCTTTTTGATTGTTAGGGAAAAACAAACTCAGGTAAATGGGAGTAAACGAGCTTAAAACAAGGAAGAAAATGATAGAAAGGAAGGAGAAAAAAATGTTGATTTCAAAGGGGAAAAATATTTACGCATTTTTTGAAGTTTGGTTGTTATATTTCGTGCGTAAATTATGGACAACCTAAAATTGTCTAAAACAATCCATAAACTATTTACCTAAATCGTCAAGCACAATTGCTAATTTTTACCCTCTAAAGACACCATAAGTGTTATAAAATATTATGGTGTGGATGTGCACTACATCAAGAAATTACTCTCACAGATTATCTACATTACTTACCTCCATTATGAAGATAATCTCCAATTTTATACCATTATTTTTGTAACCTTACACCTCCATAATCTCCTCCATTATATTGTTGATTAATGTCAGGTTTATAACTAACCTTTTGTATGTCTCTATATTACATTATAAATAGAGGCATAATAAGAGTTCATATTGTACACACTTGAATACTTGGAAAAATAAGAAAAGCTCTCATGCATCTCTTGTCTCACTATTTCTATTGCTTTCATCTTCTATATTTCTTGTCTTTTTTTTTTCTTTAGTTTTATCATAGTAAAATAATTAAAACTTTATTACCTTCTTTTTTAAGTTTTTGAGCATACAGTTTAACCTTTTGATCATTTATATATAATTCTGTTATTCATAATATATGTTATTACAATATATTTTTTGAGTTTTTGGTCAAAAACATTCTTAAACTATACCCAAACTTAAACTACATTCTTAAAATATATTTTTTTGGCAAAAAACATCTTCTAAGTATTTAAAAGTTAATAATCTTCATCCTTCTGTTAGATATCGTCAAAAAACTAGGGGATCTTACAAAAACATGAGCAGTACACGTGACTATCAACAAAAAAATTTATTCATAATTTCATTACCCGCTATAAGAAGTTCCTGAAAAAAATATTAAAAATCTTACGCGCCATTGCTTACTGAAATAAAAAAATGTTTGGAAGGTACAAGGAGACATGATTTGCTTCTTTTTTTTCATTTAGTAACGGAAAGAAGCTGGAGCTTAATTATCTTTACCTTTTTCAAAGCCAAACTGTATTTAGATCAAGAAATTTTTGGGCCAATCTGACATTGAAGTGATCAAAATATTGATTATGTCTTGCATTTGAGTTTCATTCTACATTATTAGAAGCGGAAGTTTCCAACAAACGCCGCTTCTAGCATATTCAATTGAGAAGAAACATATTTCAACTAATAATATTTTTAATACCAAATTACATGAAAATAAATGAAAAAGAACGGTCAAATTAAAAGATTTTGCATAATGCTAAACTCAATTACTGAAAAAGTTCACGATAGTATTTTTGGCATATCTAAGAATAATAATTATGAAGGGATGACTTGATTTTTGTGGGATCTGTTACTTTTCTGATAAATTTAAGTAGAAGGATGAAAATTGTTCACTTTTAAATACTTGAAGGATGTTTTCTGCTAAAAATGATACTTTAAAGATGTAGTTAAAGTTTGAGTATGGTTTAAGGATGATTTTGGCAAAAAACTCATATATTTTCAGTTAGGAAATGTATTATCATTATTGAACATGTTTTAAAATAAGTTGCACATACTCCCTATGTCCCTAATTACTTGTCCACTTTGTATTGACACACCTATTTAGAAAACAATTATTGACATAGTAAGTTTACCATTTTACCCCTATTAATTATGAAGTTGATGAATTGAAAACTTAGGATTTTCAAGAAGTTCTACATTTTTCAAAGTAATTAATTGAGGGTATAATATATAATTTTTTTTTATCCTTTCTTGATTTGTCAAAATGAATAAGTCAATAAAGACAACTAAAAAATAAAAAGTAGACAAGTAATTAGGAACATTCATTGAATCCATTTAGTCAGACCACTCATGTGCATGTATTTATTGTGTATTTGGTTGACAGCATAAATAATATTACTACTCCCTTTGTCCAATAATATTTGTTTACTAGTGAATTTATATACTTTTTTTAAGAAAGTATAAATAGAGGTATAATTTTATTATATCACCTTTTAAATATAATAAATACAATATCTTAAAAAATGTAGAGAAATGACTATAATTAGTGATAAGAATAAATTAGGAATTAAGTGTAAAATTACCCATTAATTTCATAAAATAGATAAATATTATTAGAAATCACAAAATAGTATAGTGTAACGGAGGAAATAATAATTACTATGTAACTAATACAACCTTTGATTAGCGACATTATTTAATATTTGCATTAACTTAATGTATGTACTATTTTATACCCTCCGCTCTCTTTTAATTGTCATGTTCTGTTTTTTAAAAGTCAATTTGAATAATTTTCAAAATTAAATTAGATTACTATATTGATTCTATATTTTAAACAAAAAAAATTAGATATTCAAAAATTAAATAAAAGTACAACAAATTGTTTATCATAAAATAATATTAATTTTTTTATGTTCCGAGTTTACATTAGAGATCCAACTAATTGGGATAAAGTGAATAGGTGAATTTTCTCCATATCCCAAACTTAAATCTGAAATTTCTGATAAAAGAATGGAGCAGTCTAACCACTGCACCGAGCTTTAGTTTAACTTGTAATGGAACATGACGTATCGCCGGTAAAGTTGAAGGAACAGCCGTCGATCTTTGACTTTCCTCAACCAATTGGCTGATCCAACGGCTGACACTATTTTCCTATTTTAGTCCTCCTTTCAATCTATCTGCTTCGGATCCTTCCTATATAGTTCATACTTTACGCCTATCTCTCTCTCTCTAAAAGTTCTTTTTCTTTTGCACCATTTTATTTGAACAATACTTTTCCTTTTTGGGTAAAGAAGAAGAAGAAGAACAAGGTAGTTGAACAATCAACAATATTTCAATTTTTATTATAATTAATTGTTTTGACTCATCATTGATCATTATCAATTCAATTTTGTCAACTGTGTAATACAATTTTTTTTTGCCCAAAATTCAAATAAGAGTTTCCTTCTATTTGGGTCAACTGGTTGATTATTAAGTCACTTTTCTTGTTAGAATTCAAAAGTAAGAAAGTTAACTTCTTTTTTTTGTTGATAATTTTGTAAGTTTTTGGTTGAACTTTTCTTGTTATTTCTTGATATGGAGTAGTGATACAAATATTTGATATTCAATAATCTTAGTCAACTGTAAGTTGATATGGGTTTGGAGGTTTTTGATTGTATATAAGTTTTGATTTTCCTCATAGGGGTTTTCATCCTTGTTGATTGTTTTGATGTTCTTTTGAGTTTTCTGATTAACTTTCATGGTATTTTGTTTTTCTTCATTTTCTTGAGTTTTTGAAGTTTTGATTGTTTTGTGTTGTGACTTGGTGGATAAATACGCGGTATCTGTGTTGGTGGGAGGTAGCAGGTATCGGTTATAAAAAAGAATTTGTTTCTGTTATGATCAGCTTTTTGGGGGATTCTATGTTTTTGTTCATCAGCTGGGGTAGCTGTGCTCAACAGTTACTGCCTTGTTTATGCTGTTATTTATGTTTATCTTCTAAAAATCTACGACATTCTGAAGGATTGAATAATCAGTAGTTTAATTCTTGTAACGAGAAGTCAATGAACTTCTGTAGATATCTCTTGTGTCAGTTTTAATGGCTTATATGAGGTTCAAGTAGTTTTAGCTGTCAATGAATTGTTGGAAACCTTCAAGTTAATTATTCTTGAAATTTCTACATGTAAAATGAATGTGAGTTCTCCAAGGTGCAGAACTTTTGAACTACATTGTTCT